AAGTTTTTCTCAGTGGGAATTTTATACTGTAGGGGGCAGTGGGAGATCAGTAAGTGGTAGGTGAGTGATCCTCCTCCCTTTTCATCAGAGCTGTTAAGATCTCTCAAGGTAAGAGGCTTTGCATGGGGATGACAATTAATTGTGAACACGGGACCCATCAGATAGACACTACATTATAAATTATACTTCTAGCCTGCAAATATAAAACTGGTAGGTAATTTCTAAAAAAATAAACCAAGTAATTCCTTTTGAACATGGTAAGGAAGCATATTTTCTACTACTTTTAATGAATGAACAAAATATTTTTATGAGTTTCTTTGTATGCTTCATATACATGTACCCATGAATTTATCCATAAATATTTTAAAATAACAGAGTTTAGAATATTTATTTTTGTATAAATACTTTAAAATTTTTAAAATACATTAATTTATTCTCCTAACACTCAGGGGTATTTTTTTTCAGTTTTCTTAAGGACAAAGTAGAGTGGGATTAGCAAGTAGATTGACTTCAAAACTTAAAGAGTTATTGTCATTACTGGCTGGAAAATTGCATTTTTTTTGTTTGTTTTTTGGTTTTTGGTTTTTTTCCCATTTATTTATTTTATTGCATTTTAGGTTTTGGGGTACATGTGAAGAACATGCAAGATTGTTGCATAGGTACACACGTGGCAGTGTGATTTGCTGCCTTCCTCCTCATCACCTACATCTGGCATCTCTCCCCTTGCTATCTCTTCCCAGCTCCCCACCCCCCACCGTCCCTCCCCTATTTCCCCTCAACTGACCCCACTGTGTAGTGCTCCCCTCCCTGTGTTCATGTGTTCTCATTGTTCAACACCCGCCTATGAGTGAGAACATGCGGTGTTTGATCTTCTGCTCTTGTGTCAGTTTGCTGAGAATGATGGTTTCCAGGTTCATCCATGTCCCTACAAAGGACACAAACTCATCATTTTTGATGGCTGCATAATATTCCATGGTGTATATATGCCACATTTTCCCTGTCCAGTCTATCATCGATGGGCATTTGGGTTGGTTCCAGGTCTTTGGAAAATAGCACTTTTTAAGAGAAAGAGTGCTATGTGTGCCACATTGTAAAAAAATGAGGAAACTGAGTTAACCAATACACTCTTACGGATGCTTACAAAACAAAAGGCAAATAAACTTGCTAATCAGAGCTCCCAGAGCTGTATATCCAAGTGGAAGAAGAGGAAAGAAGAGACATAGGAGAGTCTTTGGAGAAAGTACCCAGACAGCCAAAGAACTGGCTTCACTTGAACCAGGAGTCTTGATATGTGAGTAAATACTCTGCTTCAGGCTTTGCAGTGTATTTTAACTTCTGCTGAATTTGCTCTCCATGGAATAAAACAGTTCAAGGTGGCGAGTGTGGGAGAAGAGGAGCCTGGTAGGTAGACACAAATTATTGTTTATGGACTGCTGGCCTCTCTGCTGCAGAGCACCTTTTGTAGCCACTTCAAAGCGGGAGCATCACATAGCTTATTTGAGCGAAATCTGCTGCAGTGAACATGCAGCAAACAGGAGGGAAATGGGCAGGTCTGATCCAGGGAAATCATTCTCAACCATCCCATTGGCTTACCCTAAGTAATCTCATAAATTGGCTATCAAAAAATTTCTATACATTTTGATAACATCAGGAATTGATAAAGGCAAAGATATAACTCCAAAGAGATTTGTGCACCAAATTTCTAGCTTCGTATGTGTTTCTGAGAAGATTGCTTATTAGATCTTAGGTCACTAAGAGTACAGAACAATTATGCTGGGACTTTAAGACCTAAGACTATGTCAAGCTCATCAATTCTCTACCAAGTCTGTATGCAGAATGAGCTATATTCTCTTCCCAAATGTTCAGGACTGTACATTAAATCTTGGAAGAAATTGCTAAGGGCTTCTTTAGAATTCTAAACTCTTAGAAGGGAAGGAATCTTAAAGATTAGTTCAACCACCTTATTTTTCAGATGAGGAAACCAAGGACTGGAACTGATGACCAACTTCCCAGAGGGAGTTAACAACAGAGCTGGCCAAAGAGCACATGTTTTCTGACAACCAGGGCAGAGTTTTTCACTGTCCTTCAGTCTTAGGGTACAACATCACCATATCACAGTCCCATAAAATGTGGAAAGAAAAAGTTGCCTACAGTTTTTCTCTGGAATGGATTATGGGGAAGGCCATTGATCTGTTTTTGTGTTGTCCAGTACACACACACACACACACAATTTAATGTTCAATTTTGAGGCAGTAGCTGAGTGGGCTAGTTACAGGCACTATTTGGTGACTCAGTACTGGCCATGATCCATTTTGCCCAGCAAGTGCCCAGGACATGGTAGGTACTGAACAATAGCAAAACAGAAGTGGCTGGTGTTGGGACCATTTGAGATCATGAAAAGCGTGCTGAGCCAGTCCTGACAGGGTGGGCTTTGGAAATGTAACTTCACCTACCTGGTCCTTCACTTCCCCATATGATCTCTTAGAATTTTTCCAGCTCTAGACTGTTGTAAGTATTGTGATCTGCTATTTTCCCTTAGAAGGGCTTTGTGAAGACTGGCCTATTTACAAAGCTCTCCCAGATTCCTTATTATGGACATTCCAAGAGCATCAAAAGGAACTACAGATACAGATTTTTCAAACCGAGTTGAAAAGTGTTTAACAGTCAGATAATATATGTTTAAAAATAGTACTGTTTTTACATGACTTTGAAAAATTGGCCTGACCCTATGTTAACCTGTTTCTAAAAGTCTGTGTTCATAAATTGACTTCTTTTATCCTCAGCCTGTGGGGCAGGAAAGACATTATGCTAGCACAACATGTACTAACCCTGGTGTGCTATTGTCCTTCTCTTAATTTGTTTTATAGTTTTGGCTCATTCTTGGAGATGAGTTATTTTCACCAGAACCCCCCAGTTTTAGAATTACAACTCCTCCCCTCTTCTTCACTTCTTCCATTTAGTAAACATGTTTTTCCCCTATGATACTAGAACATTTAAAATTTTAATTTCCTCTAATCATATCACACGAAGTGGTATGATACAACCAAAGAAAATTAAGGGAAGACACCAAAGACAGAAATACATAAAGGCAATGCTAAGGTAATTATACAAATGGCAACAGAAAGAGTTCTATGGAAAGATTTACTCTCTGGGCAGTAGATAATTTAGGAATAAATGTTGAGGAAGGATTTGATTTTTTGAAACAAAGTGATTTTGGAGAGATCAGGAAGAGTAACATAGATAAAAGTAACATGATACGACTTGGAAGTGGGGAAAGGTAGGAGAAAAAATAGGCAATGTGAGCATCTTCATATTGTGTTTGTCAAAGTTAAGTTAGATATTCTAACAAGAATATCTGATAGATTCACTTCTGAGACTCATCTGAAGAAAATACCACCCAATGTGTCACCAGGCTGACATAGGTTTCTACTTTGAGTGTGGCTCTTAAATCTATTGTTTAGCCATCCCCTAGAATGGTAGAGGCTAGATTTCCCATTTTATAGCTATGCCATTTAGGAAGGAATCAATATCAATTTTGAAATGGAGGTAGATTATCTCTATTGTTTCCTGTCCTCTCTTTTGAGCAAAGACATGAATTTAGTATGGCATGGCTTGCATCTTGTGGCTCTATGTTGATGTCTACGTTGTTCATCTAGCTATTAATAGAGCCATGAAAACAAATATTGATACTGACTGATATATAGTTCTCAGAGACTTAAAAAAAAAAAGAGGCCCAGTTTTCAGAGCTCTTAGTTTCCATGCATCCACACAAATCATGAATCAGATTACATTAGCCTTGCTTATTTGGATACATTCAGTTTTTTCTATTGATCTGTTTCCTTTTTTACTTTAAGTTCTGGGTTACATGTGCAGAATGTACAGGTTTGTTATATAGGTATACAGGTGCCATGGTGGATTGCTGCACCTGTCAACCTGTCACCTAGGTTTGAAGTTCCACATGCATTAGGTATTTATCTTAATGGCATCTCTACCCTTGCCCCCAACTCCCTGACATGCCCTGGTGTGTGATGTTCCCTTCCCTGTGTCCATGTGTTCTCATTGTTCAACTCCCACTTATGAATGAGAACATGCGGTGTTTAGGTTTCTGTTCCTGTGTTAGCTTGCTAGGAATGATGGCTTCCAGCTTCATCCATGTCCTTGCAGAGGACATGATCTCATTTTTTAGGGCTGCATAGTATTCCATGATTCCATTTTCTTCATCCGGTCTATCATTGATGAGCATTTGGGTTGGTTCCAAGACTTTGCTATTATAAATAGTGTTGCAATAAACATACATGTGCATGTGTCTTTGTAGTAGAATGATTTATAATTTGGGGGCTATATATGCAGTAATGGGATTGCTGGGTCAAATGGTATTTCTGGTTCTAGATCCTTGAGGAATTGCTACCCTGTCTTCCACAATGGTTGAACTAATTTACACTCCCAACAACAGTGTAAAAGTGTTCCTGTTTCTCCACATTCTCTCCAGTATCTGTCGTTTCCAGACTTTTTAATGATCGCCATTCTAATTGGCGTGAGATAGTATCTCATTGTAGTTTTGATTTGCATTTCTCTAATGATCAGTGAGGATGAGCTTTTTTAAATATGTTTGTTGGCCGCATAAATGTCTTCTTTTGAAGTGTCTGTTCATATCCTTCACCTACTTTTTGATGGGGTTGTTTTTTTCTTGTAAATTTAAGTTCGTTTTAGATTCTGGATATTAGCCCTTTGTCAGATGGGTAGATTGCAAAAATTTTCTCCCTTTCTGTAGGTTGCCTGTTCATTCTGATGATAGATTCTTTTGCCGTGCAGAAGCCCTTTTGTTTATTTAGATCCCGTTTGTCAAATTTGGCTTTTGTTGAAATTGCTTTTGGTGTTTTCATTACGAAGTCTTTGCCCCATGCCTATGTCCTGAATGGTATTGCTTAGGTTTTCTTCTAGGGTTTTTATGGTTTGGGGTTTTACATTTAAGTCTTTAATCTATCTTGAATTAATTTTTGAAAAATATGAAACACTTCACAAATTTGCATGTCATCCTTGTGCAGGGGCCATGCTAATCTTCTCTGTATCATTTCAATTTTCGTTTATGTGTGGTTGAAGTGAGGACAATCTATTTCTTTCCTTTTCTTCTTTATGTAACTTATTTCCCTCTATTACAATTAGGACCCTAACAAGCTCACTGATATTTTCTTTAAAAATAGTCAAACTGAAGATATTAAAAAGCCTGATCTCTCTCCCCTTTGGTGTTAGTGGTCTTTGATCATCCTTTTTTTGTGTGTAAGACATTTGAAATTACCTTTACAAAATAAATGGACCATTGAAAATAGACTGATAAATAGTTATCATCTCTGCCTCTAGGAATTATAATCAAATAGAGGAGATATGGGGCCAAATATCATATTTTGAATGCAAATGAGTTCAATGAATGCATTGTGAGTCAGTAATTCTAATTTGAAAGCTACTAACATATTTACAAGAGAAAAAGTTCCATAGTGGCAGTAGAGTCACAAGGATTGCTTGAGCAATGTTATTTTGAACTAGAAAATCTAGAGATGCACAAATTTGCTCAAAAGTAGCTTTGGTAACTTTCAAATATGTTCCAAAATAAAGAAAAATTTAAGCTGGGTACTAGTGGATCACACCTGTTATCCTAGTACTTTGGGAGGCCTGAGGCATGAGGATTGCTTGAGCCCAGGAGTTTGAGACCAGCCTGGGCAACATAGTAAGACCCTACCTCTACAAAAAAAATATACATATATACAAAAATGAGCCTGGTGTGGTGGCATGCACCTGCAGTCCCAGCTACCGCAGAGGTTGAGGTGGGAGGATGGCTTGAGTCCAGAAGATGGAGACTGCAGTGAGTCAGAATTGCACCACTGCACTTTATCCTGGGTGACAGAGAAACACCGTGTCTCAAAAAAAAAGAAAGAAGAAGGAGAAGAAGGAGAGGAGGAGGAAGAGGAGAAGAAGAAGAGGAAGAGGAAAAAGAAGAAGAAGAAGAGGAAGAGGAAAAAGAAGAAGAAGAAGAGGGAGGAGGAGGAGGTGGTGGTGGTGTTGGTGGTGAGGGGGAGGAAAATTCATGACAAGAAGTAATAAAATTGACTAAGGTAATGATGGAGTGGGGAGTGCGAGGGGAGTTACTGAAAAGGAAGAAACCAAGACACAAAAATAACTCCTTTGATGTGTACCCTCTTTATTTATTGCATTCGGCTTTATATACTCATCTCTCTTCAAAGATCTCATGTTTAGTCCAAAAAGATGGGACTAATCTTTCCTTGGATATCCTATTCTGTCATTAAGTGCTCATTCAATTCAGACTTCTTTGTTGTCCCCTCATATAGATAAGAAAATTCTGTTGGTTTGTTTTTTTTCCAAGCTTACTGCCCTTTCGCCCAAAGCGAAGGCAATCAAGCTATGCTAAACACCCACATTTCTAATTTGCTAATAATGCAATTTCATTTAATCAGAGAGAGAAAGCAAATATAAGCCCTAGATAATGTAGTTAACGACATAATGGCTTCCTACCCAGGTCCCAGACATTTGAGATCTTCACATGACAGCATGCCTTTGCTAAATGAATATATTTTTATTTATATTTTAACAATGATTTGTCCAAAAAGTCTTTTTTTTCCCCAGATATATTTTTCAAAGCACACAAGCCATGCAATTAGTTGAAAAGTTACTGTCTTCAATTAAATTGCTTTACACAAATGAGTGTATATTGGATCTGGGGGAAATATTTGTCCTTTTAGGCTTTCCAAAAATCCTGCCCTTTAGGTACTACACCCACGCTTAGGGGTCTGAAGAGTTCAAGGCTGACAGTAGCTCTGAAAAGTTTCATAGCCTTTTAAGAAAGTTCAGCAGCTATATTTGGGGAAGAGATATGTGTATTATGCAGGACTGTTCGCTAATGCAAAGATTGTAACATATGGAATTCATAAAAGCCCAATTACAGAACCGTCACTGTTTGCCACAGTTTTAACTTATGTAAGTTATTGATTATACTTTCATGAGATCATAATCAAAAGGTTATTCTTTGGTAATGGTGTGTTAGAAGAGCTTTATCCTGAACTTCAAAGCCATCCTCTGAGCCTCAAGAACAAAGGCTTAGAAGTTTGGACCAGGGCCAGAATCAGTCTGTATGAGTTAACGACGTTCCAGAGCATCTAGGAGCCGAGTCCACCTATCCACGTGCGGGAACTTTCTCTCATCACATCAGATCAACAGTCATCACTAAAAGATGACAGTTGATTCAACTTTAATGTGTCTCTGTGTGTGTGTGTGTGTGTGTGTGTGTACTTTTTTTGATGAATCAGCTTGACTATAGAGTCTGCTTTCATTTGTCATATAACCATTTATTTTGACTGTAAAATACTGTCATTCACTGTGCTTTCAGAAGAGAGTGATTATCATTAAGTAGAAATACATCTAGGAACAGGAATTGCAAGTACTCAAATATTTTCAGAAAATAATTCTTAGAAATTAAAAAGCTAATGTGTAACTTAATAAAAGTAAAAAGTAATGAAGGAGGGTTCAATTTTGTCCTAATATTCTGGCATGTTTTAAGCAGGCAAAACAAACAAACAAACAAACCACACTGTGAGTTTGGCTAACGTTACAAATGGCAAATCTGCTGCCCCTCTTTTACTCTTAAAATCCTTACATAAATTATTACACCATAGAAGCAAAATGCCATCAGGTGTAATCACACAGAACAATCTTGGAGCTTTCTCACAGCAGCTCCTGCAGCCTACCACTAGGCTGTTTTCTCTCTGAGTCATTGGATGATGGATGATCAGGCAGATCCTGGGATTTCTATAGTCAGCCTAAGATAATAAAATGTCCTCTGATTACTTTAGTGCTAAGATTATTCTCATGCCAGTAATTAAAGTCTCCTCTTCTGTGTTGTAGTTAAAATTCTGACCTTTATTTAAATTTAAGATTGTCCTCTCCCTTAACTGCAGCTTGGTTGGTTGCAACGTGGTTGACCCTTATCAGTAGGGTCTAGCTCCTCCAGGAGAGGGGTCATGGACAAGAGAGATGAGAGGTAAGAGGCAGATAGGAGCTGATGTCACCTACAGTGTTTCCTCTGGCCCCAGAGGATGTTAAAACTGATCTTGTTATTATGGGCACTTTCCTGGGTTCCTCCCCTGGAATCTCCACACAGCTTTGCCTGGGTTAAGGCATTGCTTCCCCTTGGGCTGCATGCTCATAACCATGGTGCCCATCCACTCTGGTACAGCCATACTGGCCTCTTCGCTGTTTTCATGAATGTGCCAGGTATGCTGCCACCTGAGGGACCTGGCACTAAGCATTCCCTCTGCTCTTCTTGTTTTCTCACTCTATTCCAATCTGTATTAAAATATCCCAGCCCAGCAGCCTTCCCGGTCTGTCCCTTCTGAAACAGCAATCCCCTACCATGCATATTCTTAATTCTCTGTCATCTTTCTCTGCTGAAGTCTTCCACACAGTGCCTGTCATTACTTGATAAATTATATGTCCATTTGAACATTTCTTTAAAAATTATGTGTCTCCTCTTCTTCATCACATCAGAAGTAGGCTCCCTGAGGGCCTAGAGTTTTTACCTCTTTTGCTGACTGCTACATCACTGGGGCCTAGAGCAGAGCCTGGCATATGGAAAGTGCTCAGTAAATATTTACTGGGCGAATGAATGAAAGAAGGCATGAACACATAAAAAGCAGCCAGATATAATGATTTACTCTTCTGTGTATATCTCAATTTGGAAAAGATTTTGTTCTTAATTAGAATTAATTTACATTTAAATCTTTGATCAGAGCTATTGGCTGAAATGGATTCCTAGGGTAAAAGGCAAGATCTATGAAAATCAAAATTGCTTTTGGAAATATAAGCACAGTAGACTTTAATCACAATATCATTTTACCTAGTCTGATTTCTTCTTATTCAAAATGTAATATAGGAAATTGTTTATATAGGATACAATATTGAATTTAATTTAAACAGGAGCAGATACTCTTAGTAAGTAAGTTCAGGCAAATATTATTATCAGAGATTCTCAAAGATAGGGACTAAGACTTCTTCTGTAGTTTTGCCTTGTATAATATTGAGAGATACATGGAGATGTCCCCGTATAATACTGGGAATAATACATATAATGTAGAATATATATATTATATATGGATTATATATAATATATATAATACTTGCCTTACATAATACTGGAAAACACATGGAGATTTCCTATGTATTTTTTTTTCATTCCTTCAAATTTTTATTAAAGAAGCTAGGTTTTTGCCCTGTAGAGTTTCCCATAGTCTGTATTTTATTGATTACATCTTTGTGGTGTAGTTTAACTTGTTCCTCTATCCTCTAAATTTCCTGCAAATTAATAGTTTGATAAGACATTTCTAATTTGTTTTAAAGTTAAAGAAATAAGATAATTCTAATTTTGCCTATATGTGCTAACTTGAACTAGAAAAGAAAGATTGTTTTGGACTATTTTCACAGTCCCTGCTTTCATTCTGAACCTTACTCCCTATACCCACAATGCCTTACAGAGACCCTCCCTTGATCACATCCCTCCAGCTCTCAGCATCCAGGGATCTCCAAATTGCTTTTTTCTATAGGTACTGCCACTGCCTAGGGACTCCTGCTACCACACCACATCAGTAAGGGACTTTATATTGATCCTGTGTATAGTAATGCATTTGTTGAAAGCTTACAATGTGCCAACATTTGCACCTACTTTACATGCATTATTTAATCCTCACAACAGCACTGCAAAGTAGACATTGGCTTCCTCGGATTCCTCAAGCTTGCCAGAGTCCTGCCAGAGCTTACACATCTGATCTTTCTTCTGCTTAAAAAGCTCCCCCTCCTTTATCTGTTTAACCTTTGTTCATTGAGCAGATCTCAATTCTGCCATCCTTTTTCAAGCAAGCTGTTCCTGACCCCCAAAATAAGCCAAAATACACATTCTCAAAGAACCATGTACATTTCTGAAGCCCTTTATGACAGTCTTAATTTTTTACTCACTTGAATGACCAGCTTTCTTCCAGCCTGCAGGCTCCATAAGGACAAATACTTGGTCTGTTTTTACTCAGCTTGGCATCTCAGGCACACACAATGCC